GATAATGCAAAAAAACTTTAAATTTACAATAAAAAACTAAAAAAATTATTCTATTAGAGACCATTCTGAAAAAAATTAAATATGTACTTTTAGAAGTAAAAATATTATTTATAAAACTGAAAACTTCAAGGGAAATGAAGAACATAAGTTCATTTGTGGTGCTAGTCAGAGAAAATTGATAGTACAGATTGGATTGAAAGTGGGCCACCTGAGTGAGTAGATCCAAGGATATTAGTTACTGCTTAAGGCTTCCTTTTGTGGTTTGGTTATCGGAGAATATTGAAGGTGGTTCTTTGTCCTGATTGATAGAAAGGTCATGTAATCACTTCCTCTACTGCATGTATCTCTTCTCCTGCTACATCAAATTTTAAGCATATAGCACACAAATTACTGTTATAGACTTCAGATGCTATCTGACAACATTCCTAGCTACTGAGTTGATGAGCCATCAAGGGGATGATGGTGAGAGATTTCCCCTGAAAGACTTGTAATACATCTCTTAGATTAGATCATGTACAATGTCAGGGTCAGGGTTAGGGTCAAAGTAGAGTTCACTTCTGTGGGGCTTTCCTGTTTCCTTAGTTAATGGAAGTATCTTGGCATAGTGCTTAAATGCCTTTACATATAGATCTCAGCTCACCTTTCTGTGTCTTACAGAAAAAAATTCTAACTGAAGGATGATACTAAATATAGTCATGGTCATTTGGGAACCATTTCTTTCTCTACCCCAAATTGTATTAGGGCCAGGCAATGTGCAAGTACAATAAGATGTCACAAACTTCTTACTAATGATGGAGGCAACACCTGAGGGGAGTCTCACAGAACAGCAGCGGGAGTTGCCCATGATAACCTTCAATGAGAAGAGGGGGAAATGGAGAGGAGGGACAAAATGGAGAACTTTTTGCCCCGTTCTCCCAAGAAGACTTCCCCTGAAGATCGAAGAGGAGGGCATATATCCCCTCTATGGAACCCCTTCTCAAGACACAGAATGTCTTTATTCTCAGCTTAGATGAACATAGTGCAATATCGCTTTTACTTCCTTAGACTTAGGGCTCAGTTCCTCTATCACCTATGTCACCTTTCAAGCTATGGTGCCCCTGGGTACAAGCAATAGCTTTTGGCAACCTCCAGGTGGAGAATGTGATCTCCTCCCACTGAGCCTCTAGTGAAAGGTGCCGCTCACTAAAGTGGGGTCATTGCCTGAATGAAAAAGTTACATTGCAGGGATTAGGGGAGCTATATCCATAGTTAGAAGTCATGTCTTACTATAATGCAGGTCTGGCAAGCCAGGAACTGTCACCACCTGAGCAAAGGACCAGTTTCCCCAGAGTTTGGTAGGAAATGGGAGCTGGATAATTCATACATGCTTCCTAAATATGGTACAATTGAAAGGAGCGTCTTTCCCAGATAGAGTGGGGAAGCAATGGAGTTTACATTGTAGAAATGCCACGGACTCTAAGCCTTGGACTTCAGAATGAAAAGGACTAAAGAGTAGTGAGGAGAGTTTAAGTAGTAAGAAAGGAAAGAATGTATATTCTCACTTCCTCACATTTGGCTTAGCCAATGTGTTTCAGTGGTCAGGACAGAGTTGGGCATTTCCAACTTCTTGGCCTCTTATCCAAAGAACTGGAAACTGAGAGCTCACTCCTGGCCCTTGCAATGTACTTGGCAGCCTATTTCCTTCATTTGTATGTAGTATGCACACACTCCCCTCTCCAAGCAATACACCTAACAATGTCAGAAGTCCCTCGAACTTTTGCTTGCATCTGACTACCTCTGTTTTCATCTCTGAATGATAACACAGACAGAAACCTGACCAATACACTTAATAACAGTCAAATCTATACACTTTCACTCAAGTGTATTCCCAATGAATTAAGTAAAACAGGCAAGTCAATCTGACCTGAACCAGTTTTGAGTGTATGCACAGTAAGGCAAATCCGTTACTTACCAACTTATAACTATACACAATTGGGTGTACATATCATTAAAATGAGAGGCATATGGGAAGGGACATGAACAGTGGTAAAAACAAAGATATGACCTAATTTATAATTCAAAATAAAGAATTTTCCTCGGTTTGTTCTTCTAAATGCCCCTGGGACTTCCAAGAGTATTCTTACTTTGGAGGACTTCTGTCAATCTGGGCAGCACATCCCTCTATAATCTATCACTTAGCTACAAATAAAATCATCTTGTTTGTTTTGCAAATCTGTGGAAGTATTTATTCAATTATTTTAATAAGAGACCAAGAGCCTGGAAACACCAAAACTAGGCCTCAACCACCATCAGTGCTTTTTTATGAAAAGGTACAAAGAAGGACAAATATAAGTTCCAGGGCTGTGGGGAACACTGTCAAGACCGAGACACCATCATACTCAAACAGAGCCTAATTTGTATAATTAATGATAATTAATTACTTGGGATCAAATGACACATTACCTTTCTGTATTTTATTTGACTTTACCATTTAGAATACTCTTTTTAGAAAGATTCAGGTTGAGTGGCAGAGTTTGCACTTGTAAACGAATGTTAATATGCTACCTAGCTCTCCAGAAGATATTTACATAGTAATAACACTAGAAACTGCAATTTAAGACATTTCATACTGTAATGTAGGAACTACAACATCAGAATTGTATGGAAAGTTTATTTTTAGAAAGACTCCTGGATCTCACCCCAGAGATAGGTACACTGTGTATGTGTATCTGCAATAACAGCATTTTAAACAATTTTCAAGTATATGTGGGGTAATGCTAGTCTTGGTTGGTGTATTAGTCAGGGTGTTCTTGAATAACAGAAGTGATAGGATATATGCACACTAAATGCTAATTTATTAGATGGGTTTACCCAATATGGTCTGAGTACTCCAATACGATCTGCATGACACCAGAGAAGCTGAGCAAACAATAGTTGCTCAGTCCGTGAGGCTGAACCCTTCAGCAGTCCCAATTTGGCACCAATGGCCTTCAGAATTTCTAGAAAGCTTCTGATACTCAGTCCTTGTTGACAAAAAAGCAAAGGAATTAACACTAGCAGACATAAGATGGATGAATGTGCCAGCAAGTATGAATGCTCATTTTCATTCCTTATTGATCAGTATATCTCCTCTGTAGCTTCTGTGGCTCCTGCACTGATATAGGATGCTAGCTTCTTTGGCCTTTCTATAGACTGATGACCAGGAGCCTTCCAGCAGTCCTCCAGGCCTTCAGCACCACATTGCAATGCTCAGGCATCCAGCCTCATTGACTGAACAGCTACCAGGTTCTTAGCCTCTCTAATGTGTAAGCATTGTTGGATCACTGAGCCTATATTGTATAAACCAATCTAATAAATCCCTTAATAATATAGATTCATTCTATTAGTTCAGTTCCTCTTTCCTCTGGATAACTCTTACTAATTATGCACAAATTATATATACTAAATTTTGAAAATCACAGCTATAAAACAATAACCTCTAAAATTCTTATTATATATATATATATATATATATATATATTAAGAACAAAAAGTTTCTGAGTTTGAGTACATACCTCCAATATATTTATTTATAAACTGTATGGACACATAAATATATATATATATGTATGTATGTATGTATATATATATTCTTCTACAATTACAAACATTAATATATTAAACATATAAAATGGAAATTATAAAGGATGATAAAATGGCCTCATATTTTACTATTTTCCTTCTGCTCAACCAAAAGACAGGCAAGAATTGAGGATACCTTTCTAAGTTGGAAAAAAATATTAAGAAAGAAGGGTGAAAAATAAAATCACAGAAATGTCCATTCAACAGCCAGAACTTTTCTAGAAGGTTACACTGCTTCAAATTAAAAAAAAAAAAAGCACAGAAAACATTTATTCCCAGGATATTGAAGAAGCAACCAGGGAGCTTACACAGAAGGTAATTCTGATCATCAAAAGAGAAGAGTGGCTGATACACTGGACATACAAGCAACATGAGGAAAAGCCAATTACAGTATTTTAGGAGTCTACAACAATCGAGGACGCTAAAATTCAGCATAGTCTGGCATGTATCACCGAGTTTAACAAGAAAAGAAAAAGCAGATATTTTTAGACTGATACCAGCACTAGAGACCCGAAACAAGAATACAGCCAAAGTCATCAAAAAATGATACGTAGGTTATATGAGCCTGATTCCAGCAAAGAAATGAGGAAATGAAAAGATATCCATATGTTTAGCTTCTCATTTAGGAAATATAATGAAATCCATTTAATAGAAAAGCAAGTGTGTTAATCACTGTGTTAAATGTCAGGGGACTACTGCAAACCAAATGTGCGATGAGGAGTACCGGCATCACTCCACTGTTTCTAATGACCACAGAGAGGCTCGATAATCTACAGTTAAATGACTGAGCGTCCCTACAGGGTAATATTGAAGTATAAATGAAAACTATCAACTTATTCTGGAACACTTCCTCTACTCTGGCAAAGTCATCTCAGGTTTTCAAGAACATGCTGTAATTATGTAATGGGGAAAACTAGAGAGTTCCCTCTCCGGGCATCTGCTGAGTAAGGAGTCAAACCCCTAGGAACATCTTCCGAAATTGTGGCATACCTATATACACTCTTATCTAGTGTATAAGCCATAGTTTTCTCCTACCTGCTAAGTATTCATATGTCAGAATATGAGCAAAATCCCAGCACTTGGGAGAAGGGAGAAAGATCAGGAGTTCAATGTCACCCACAGCTACAAAGCAAGTGCAAGGTCAGCCTGGGCTACATGAGACCCTGTCTCATGCATATACATCATATATACACACACATGTGAGCAGGAGAAAGGACTGATACATACTTGGGGAATCCGGCATTTCTTGTTATAAATCCAGTAATTATAATGTTGTAATTATTACAGTCATTTGGAAATCAAAGTAATCCTTTGGGGGCATTGACAGTTTTAAACTTTTATTGAAGAAAAACAATCAAATAAATCCAAAACACATGAAAAAAATTAATTTGAAAACTTACCTTTCCACGACTAAACTGATAGTTTCAGTGAGATCTGGATTTGTCACCTGGAGACGTTTCCACAAAGACCATACAAATTCTTTGTCAGCCTTAAGGAAATAAAAAGCATTTTAGGTATGTTGTTTCTATTTATAAGAGGTGATATTATGTTAAATTTAAATATAAAAAATATTTTACTGCTACTTCTATAACTATACCAATGAATCCTTTAAAGTTACAGCAGGAAAAGCCTGGAGATGGCTCGGTGGTTAAGAGCGTTAGCTGCTGCTCTAGAGGACGCAGGTCAAGGCCCAGCACCCACATGGTGGCTTACAACTGTAACTGTGTGTAATCCTGCCCCCCCCCCTGTAATCTGATGCCCTCTTTTTGCTTCCTTAGACACTGCACACACGACACACAAATAAACAAGCAGGCAAAATACCCCCCTACACACACACACACACACACACACACACACACACACACACACATACACACACAAATAACTTTTAAAACACTGTTTAACAGTATGGTAGGAGGACCTTACTTTAAAAATTCCCCCATGGACTGCTGGTGGTGAACACCTTTAATCCCAGCACTGGAAAGGAAGAGGCAGGAAGATCTCTGTGAGTTTGACACCAGCCTGGTCTATAAGAGAGGACCAGGACAGGCTCCAAAGCTACACAGAGAAACCCTGTCTCAAAACACAAAACAAAACAAAAACTCCTTACACTGATCTATACTCCAATACTGATAGTGCTGCCACCCAGATTTTGTGAAGCAAATTCTGAAACACCAAAACCAACACAGATTTACTCTAAGAGGAAGAAGCTGCCCTTCATCTACTGCTCTGTCTTCCAGTGCCCTGAACCCCCAAACCCCACGAAAGAACTAACTAGCCCAGCGCCCTGCACTTTCCTACCTCATTCCCACTGCATTTCTTTCAGTAAGATTTTCCTTCCTAAGGGAAAAAGCCTGAGGAGCCGCTACTCATATCTGAAAAGCTGTGAACAGTTGATGGCTTCACAGGAAGGAACATTTTAAGGGTGTGGTCTCTGGAAATTCAACCATGCTCTGGTGGATGGGCCCACACAGGAGCATAGGGGGCAGCTCCTGTGTTATTTTAAGAGAGGGAGGAAGGAAGGAAGAGAGAGAAACATGGGGTGGGGAGGTAGGGTGGATCTAGGAGGAGTTAAAGGGAGTAGGGAAGTGAATGTGATCAAAATACATTGTATAAAATTTCAAAAGAATCAATAAAATATTTTAAAATGAAAATGCAAAAGGGAAACCACTGGTTGAAATAAAATAAAGTACATATCTGATACTTGTATCCAAAATATACCAAGATTTCTTAGAAAACAGCAATTAAAACACAAGGAGTTCTAAAAGCAGCAGAAGCTCTAAACAGATGTCTCACCAAAGAAGGTTGCAGCCACCAAATAACTTTCCCTCTATATCAATATGCTAAAATCTCCCATGATCTTCTACCCTGCCTAGTCCAATAGACCATTTCCAACTTACTGGATGTATCAGTTATTATTAATTCTGGTTAACAGGAATCACTTTGAGGAGCTTTAAAAAATAAAGATTACCTAGAGGTTTTGATTAACTAACTGGTCTTAAATAAGGTCCAAGTATTACAATTCTTTCAAAGCTCTGAGCTACACTCAAATGTAAGAGTCAATGCCCTACGTGATCTTATATAAGTACCATACAAACCAACCCTTATATGTTTCCTCTACTCTTCAAACTTTTATTGCCAACTGTCTACTTGGCAATTCCAAATGAATGCCTGAAAGGCACTTCTTAAATTTAACTTTTCCAAAATAAAACTTTCACAAATCTGCCCTTGTACATGTTAGAAATGCATCATCATCTCTTATATTAATTCAAACACCTAAAATGTAGAAAGCAGTCAATCTTGGAGGCTCTCCTTTCTCTATACTTTCTATACACCAGAAGGCCTTATCTGCAAAATATATCCTTATTCTAATCATTCTCAACACCTTCACCACTATCACCCTAGTCCAAGTCAACCTCAACTCTTGTTTATATCTCTACAAAAAGGTCCTAGACTCACAAGTAAAAATTCTCCAGTGCATTCCCATTAGATTGAGCAAATAACCCCAAGACTCTCCCTCTATCTCTCCAAGATGAATGCCATGCCCCCACCCCCCTCTAACCGCCCCCCTACTCCCAAACCCCCTTAGGCTGACTTCCTTGCTCTGCTTGAACCAGAGCCTTTGGGCATGCTATAACATCACCCAGGGCTTGGCATAGATTATTCCCACACTTCATTCAAGGTTTACTTAAGTTTCAAAAGAAGTTGCTTTTGGCTGCTTATAACTAAATCTCAAGTCCGATTGCATTTTTTTTTTTTTAATTGGGGAGAGGGGATACACACTCTTGCCACAATGTGTGTATGAAAGTGAAGGACTTGGTTCTTTCCTTCCACTGTGGGATCTGGGAATACGGCAGCACTCTTGCCCACTAAGTCACCTTGCCAGCTTCCTTAGTTTTCTTTCTATTGCTGTGATAAAGACACCATAACAAAAAACAACTTTGGGGAAGAAATGGCTTATTTGGCTTGAATGTGTGATCACTGTCCATCACTAAGGAAAACAAGGCAGGAATACAAGCAGAAGCAGAACCTGGAGGCAAGAATTGAAGCAGAGGCTGTGTAGGAATGTTGCTTACTTGCTCATTCAGTCTGCTTTCCTATAAACCCAAAAATACCACCCTAAGGGTGGCCCTACCCACAGTAGTCTGGGCTGTCCTATATTAGAACTGATCAAGAACATTATTAGATTGAGAACATTATTAGAATATAGATTCTAACTATGTGAGGAATTCAACTACAAGATTCATTCTCAAGTCTTTTTGGTTTTTGCTGTTGTTTTTTGTTTTGTTTGTTTTTGTTTTGTTTTGTTTTTTTTATACATAGGCAAGGTCTCAACATAGCTAAATATATGGTAGTTACAAAATACATCTTAGTTCTCTGGACAAATGTTCTGATTCACAATACCATGTGTTTTCAAAAAGTTTATCATTAAATTTGGTAATGAACATATATGTCTATCACTTCAATGCCCTAAATAATATTCATCTGAAACTAACTTGTAGTTAATAAATGTTGTTGGCTGCTACAATAACCAACCCCCCCCACACACACACACTCATGCTTTGTAAATCCAAGATCATTTTCTTTCATTTGCTAGTCTACAAATGATGATAAACTTACATATACACACTGTCCTGCTTTTTGTCACAAACAGGAAATAGTTTTGAAAGACTTCATAAAAACAAATAGGCTGGAAGTAATCTCTATAAAAACATCGTGAAAATTCCTTGAAAACATTTTAGTATAATGCTCCATTTAGAAGTTACTCCCCTCCATAAACACAATCCACAGCTTTCTACTCATTTATTCAGCCTTTCTTCTGCTGACCTGGAAGCCACATGTGTTCCAGGGGAGTTGAGACATAAAATGAATTTCTTCATTGGGATGCAATTTCTAACAACATTTTGATACTCTGTATTCTCAGATGCTGTGATGTATGGGTGAATAATAAGCAGAATTCACACAAAGAACCTGTTTAACTTTGTTACAAAACAGCTAGGAAATTAATTATTTTTCCTTAGTCTCTAAGAGCAGGAATCTGGTTTGGCTATAATCTTGGTGATGACAGATACTGCCAACCTCATTTCTGGAATTTACTGTAATGTCTTCCATCATCTAACAGTATTGATATTATCAAATCTCGAGAATTACCATGCTAAGCTAGTTAGGACCATTTCTATTTCTCACATCTGCCTCAATACTATTATAATTTCCTACCCCAGGTATGCCCAAGATCACAAAGGCCAAGAACATACTGGAAGCCACATTTTTAAGGTTATAAATGTGGGAGTAGAATAGAAAAATGTGATTAGTGTCTTAGATTGTTTATTTAACTAAAGCCTTTACCATAACCACACGTCTTTAAATTCCCCAAGGGTAAGGTTTACAATGGACAAAACGTTTAGTTCATGGCTATCTTTTACCTATCCCTTTGCTCTTTTGCACGAGAATGGGAAATGAGAAAACAAAAAAGGAGCAGTCAAAGTTATGTTCAAATTAAACAAACATGATTCTGTTCTTTTTTTTTTTCTTCTTTTTTTTTTTTTAAGCAAAGACCTATGAGATGGGATGAGAGAACACAACAGAACATACTATGAGAGAATTAGCAAGGTTTTTACTGATCAGAACTGATAATACTGCTATCTCTGTGTTGGCCATTCCTAATTAGTGTCTCTTAAAGACAGTGATATTATTTTTTTTAAAAAAAGACCTGAAGTTAACTGACCTCCTAGTTCCTAACTTTATACAAGGTTCTGGCCAAATCTTAGGCGCTGGTGTTAAGATGACAACCACCACCCCTCCCCGCCAAAAATGTCCCTGTGCACTGAAGGGCAAGCAAGCTTAGTGTACACAAACCTAAAACTGATCTGGAAAGTAATCTGAGTGCAACTAACTTAACAACTGCTTTCCTCTGCCAAACTCCCATGAAAGTGTTTGGTACTCGTGATTTATGGGATCATCGGTCTCAGTTAATAAATGAATAGGGAGCCTTCTGTGTGTGAACTGCCCAGTCCCGAGGCTTTCCAAAGACTGTGATTGTGTTTGGAACTGAAGTTTAACAATGTAAGAACAAGGGTAAGTGTGGGCTTGAAGTTTAAAAGCGGGCTACTTCATGAGTTAGTTTTTATTTTTTCCTTGTGTGTGTGTGACACACTCCTGTTTGCTCCACTTCGTGAACGCGCTCCACTCGTGGGCACTAGGTACTAGCCACCACCGGGAACTTGGGCTTGGAGGAAGGCGCCTTTGGAAAGCATCTATCAAAAGGACACCCGGCTCTGCAGAGGGACAGCGCCTGCAGCCCAGGCGATGGCCGAGTCCGGCGTGGAGCCTGGAGGGCGCGTCCCGGGACGGCTCCCTAGATGCCAGGGCCGAGTGCGAGAGCACCGGGCGGCGGCGGTGGACGGGAAGGCCGGCGGCCAGTCCTGATACCTGACACAGGGCCAGCTCCTCCTTTAGGCTGCTCAGCTCTTCCTCCAGCAGCTGTGTCCGAGTCGCCTTCGCCTCCTCTAAGGAGAGGCCCTCCGGCCGCCAGGACCCCGCGGGCGCGCAGGCGACCGGAGCGAGAGCGGCCCCGGTCCTGCCCGGCCCTCGCCGGCCCCCTGCCCCTTCTTCGCCCCTCCAGACCATGTCCCTTTGATCCGCGAAGACCTCCCTCGCGGCGCCCGCCAGACCCGAGGCCTCGCTGCGCACGGCGTGCACCTCGGCTCCGTGCCCGAGGCGCGGGGACCGGCGGCCCGACTGCCGTCCCGGGGCCGGGGGCACCGGGGAGGATGGCGAGCGCGCCGCCATGGCCGCGGCGCCTAACGGGTCAAGTTCCCGCTTGAAAACTCCACCTTCGCTTCCCCATCCTGGGGAGCCCGGCCCGCCGGCCTACGCATGCGCGCAGCTTTTCCCGCCTCGTCCCGCGCTCGGGGCTCGGAGCCGGCTTCCTTCCCGCGAGCGAGCGCCCCGCGCGGGCCCCTGAGCTGCGCGTGCGCGCCGGGTGCGCTGAGGCTCGTCTGCTGGCGCCGCCTGAGTCCCCAGTGCCTGGGTTCCCCGCTCTCCTAAGGTCCTGCCCTCCACCGAGGGCCCTGCTTACAACCCTCCTGTTCAAGCCTTGCTGCCAGCCACAGCCCCCCAGTGACCCCGAACTGAGAATCCCTCCTCCTCCAAGGCTTCTGCCAACTGGTTTTTCACGTTTCATTGACCGCCCTCAAGTGTTAGTTACCCCGCTAATCTCTCCAACGCTGTTGTAAGCTCCTTGAGGATCAGGGAATAGGTTTTAGAGTTAAGTGTTTTCTTCACACCCCTTGGCAAAGCCGCCTTCCTTCCATGCTGCTTGCTGACATCCAGCCCACTGAAGTCAAGGAGACACGGAAAGCTTTGTGCTGAGCTGGGACTATCGAGCAGGCTTCCCACTTGAATTATGATCCTTCCTACACCCTTTGTCTTTTGTTTTGCAAGAGTCATGGTTTCCTTTGAGTCTTTCTGTCAATTTCTTTATCCCTTGGCTGGATATCAGAGCAAGTTTGTCCTACGAGGCCCAACAGCTTGGTGTCCTTGGACTGATCTAAAGTCAGCAGCGGAGTGTGATGAAAGAAATGAGGCCGACTTACTCTCTTTTAGTCTCAGGCTATTTCTTACTCACTTTGTTTACAAATTTCAAGTACGAAATCACCTTCCTTTATCCTTAAAACACTTCCTCGCTGTTGCTAAACTTAATAAAGGCATACACACAAGCTGAGCTGGGCTTCACAAAAAGATAGACTTGCTCTCCTCCCACCCACCAGAGAAGTTTACAGAATACTTGGAAGACATTTAAAATAGGGATTACCCCACTGTGGCCATTTTAAAAATCATCTAAGCCAGAATTTAGTCGGCCTCTACTCTTGCTTCACACCCAAGGTGAAAACCTTGTGAACTGTATTAACCAATTCTTTTTAAAGTACATATAGGGTTAGGGGCCATGGTTCACTCCTTGAAGTGTTGGCTGCAAAAGCATGAGGACCTGAGTTCAATTCCCCAGAGGCCACTTTTTTTTTTTTTTTTAAGTCAGGAACCATGGTATTGCTGTTGCAGAATATTTGTACACGATGTGAAGATGTGTTGCTGTAATTGGTGTAATAAGAAGCTCAACAGCCAATAGCTAGGCAGGAGAGATTGGTAGACGCCCAGGCAGAGTGGAAGAGGACATAATCGAGGTGCAGAGGCGATGCCATCAAGACACAAATGGATACAAAAGGAGTCAGACACACACAATGGGAGAGAGGCAAAAGCCACGTGGTAAAATATATAACAAAAATATGAATTAATTTAACTAGTAAGAGCTAGTGGGCCAAGCCTAAGCAAATGGCCAAGCTGTCATAATGAGTCTCCTAGTCTCCTTGTTATTTCTGAGCTGGTGGCTGACAAAAAAAAAAAAAGCTTGCTGTATGTTGACAGACATACAATCCCAGGACTGAACTGAGAGACTAGAAGATCCTTGGTAATCGCTGGCCAGACACTCTAGCAAAATCAGCAAGTTCCAAGTTCAATGAGAGACTGTTTGAAAAACTATAACAGAATGTGACTGAAGGAGACACCGGACCTCAGGCCTCCACACACACAAGTATCTAATGCACACACACAAACACACATGAACACACAAAAAAGAAAAGCTACAGAAACTTGTCTTGCAAATAGCTCCTCCATTGAACATTTGCTTAGTCCAAGGATAATTTTCAAATATAAATAAACTTAATTATTATTTTATGTTAAATTAGATGTCATCTGAGTTTAATTGGTGAAGAAACTTCCACTTCAGAGGTCAGTGTAATTTCTCTGACTTTCCATGTCTGATCATAGGGAAGCCAGATTTTAAATCCATTTAAATCTAAAATCTATGTCTTCGATCTCTATGGATATTTGCAACAAAGCATTAGGTTCTGAAAATATATGAGATTTCACTGGGAATAGCAATTGGAATTCTAACCATATAGTTCACAGGTTTGGCTTGCAGTAAATACAAATACTACTGGTTATTTATTTGTTCATTTCATTTGACTCTAGAAAGATTCTTTAAAAATCAATAAAATGTTTTCTATTATGTTTTGTATTATGTTCAAATTTTCAACTCAATATTTCAATTCAATATTTCAATTGATAGATGATAGACAGATAGATGATAATAGATGATAGAAAGATGATGATAGATGATGATGATAGATAGATGATAGAAAGATGATGATGATAGATAGACAGACAGATAGATAGATAATAGATACAGTATGTATTTACATAGATAAATGATAGATAACTGAAAATGTGTTTGGACATTTGCTTAACTTCTTGAGAATACCTCTTCAAGACCTTTGAGCTTTGTTTGTTTTATTTCTTGCGTTTGTTATTATTGATTTTGTTTGTTTGTCTTGAATGCAGTCTCAGAATACAGTTTCAAACTCACGGACATCTGGCCTTAGCCTCTCAAGTGTTGGATTTGAAGGCCTGAGCCACCTTGCCTGGCTATTTGACCATTTTTAATTAGAATGGTTTTGTTATATAGTTATATAAAGACAATCTTTATATTTACTAGGAAGGAAATATATAAAATTTTCAATATTTGCATGAGTCTCAGAAAGACATGCTTAAAAAGCTGTCCTCTGCCTGAATGAATATGGCCAAAGCAGTCTACAGTGTTTATCTATTCAATTATGTATTCTAACAATTAAAAGTGATGATCTGTTCTTCACCACAATAAATCCTGTGATGGTGAAGTACATTGGACTAGAGAGATGCATAATTCTATTCACATCTCCATCTCTATGAGACAGTTGAAATTGGAGGGAAGTAGAAATTTGAAGTTTCTATAAACTTTCTTTTTAGTTTTTTGTCTTGCCAATTTAGTATCATCTTTGTCTTCTTTATAAATTTAGTATAATTTAACTTAATCATTCCATAAGATCTTTCTTTCTTTCAGATAGGATCTCATCATGTAGCCCTGGCTAGTCTAGAACTCAATATGTAGATGAGGCTGGCCCTGAGCTTATAGCTACCAAGTATGTGGTCAACTTTAGAGGTATGTTTCTTGTATGCGGCAGAAGGATGGATCCTGTTTTCATATCCATTCTGTTAGTCTGTGCCATTTTATAGGCGAATTGAGACCTTCTATATTAAGAGCTAGCTATTAATGACCAGTGATTGTTAATTATTGTTATTATTTGGGTAGTAGTGTTTGTGTGTTGCCCTTCTTTGGAGTTTGCTAGTATGAGGTTATCTGTTGCCTGTTTTCATGTATGCAGCTAACTTTCTTGGGTTCTCTCTCTCTCTCTCTCTCTCTCTCTCTCTCTCTCTCTCTCTCTCTCTGGTAATTGAAAGCTTTTCTGGGTATAGTAGTCTGGGCTGGCATCAGTGGTTTCTTAGTGTCTGTAACATATCTGTCCTGGACCTTCTAACTTTCAGAGTTTCCATTGAGAAGTTGGGTAGGTATAATTCTGATAGGTCTGACTTTGTATGTTACTTGGCCTTTTTCCTTTGCAGCTTAATATTCTTTCTTTATTCTGTATGTTTAGTATTTTGATTGTCATATAGCAAAGGGACTTTTTCCAGTCTATTTGGTGTTCTGTAAGCTTCTTGTACCTTCACAGACATATTCTTCTTTAGTTTAGGAAAGTTTACTTCTATTATTGTGTTGAATATATTTTCTGTGCCTTTGAGCTGTAGTTCTTCTCCTTCTATTCCTGTTATTCTTAGGTTTGGTTTTTTTCATGGTATCCCAGATTTCCTGGCTGTTTTGTGTTAAGAATTTTTTGGATTTAACATTTCCTTTGACCAATGGATATATTTCTTCTATCATATCTTCAATGCCTAAGACAAATTCTTCTATATCTTGTATACTGTTGGTTATGTTTGCATCTGTATGTAGTTCCTGTTCATTTACCCAGATTTTCCATTTCCAGAATTCCCTAGGTTTGCATTTTCTTTATTGCCACTATTTCAATTTTCAAGTCTTCAACTGTTTGAACTGTTTCCTTCCCCTGTTTTATTGTTTTTGTTTGTTTGTTTGTTTGTTTTTCTTTATTTTCTTGGCTTTCTTTATCTCGTAAAGAAGATTTATTGGTTTCTTCCAATTTTTATTTGTTTGTCTATTCTTCCATTTCTTCAAGGGAATTTTTCATTTCCCCTTTAAGGGTCTCTATCATCTTCATAAAGTTACATTTAAGGTCATTTTCTTTTGCTTCTTCTGTGTTAGGATGTTCAGGTCTTCCTATTGCAGGACCCCTAGGTTCTGGTGTTGTCATATTGCTCTTTAGGTTGTTGAATTTATTATTGCATTGGTGCCTACCCATCTCTTCCTCCAATTGTTGCAGGCTCTTGGTCCAATTCTTGCAATTAGTGTCTATGTTTCACGGATCCTCCTGGGACCAATCATTGCAATTGTTGTCTGTGTCTCAGGGAGGGTTGGGTGGGTAGGTTTGGGGGTGGAGTGCGGTTTGTAAATTACTGGTTCCAATGGGGTGTTGCTGGTGCAGCTTGCACCCAGGAGGCTTGCCTGCTGATTGGCTAGTTCACATGAGGTGGGTAGGGTAGAGGCCCAGTAGGGGCCTATGGCCTAGAGTCTGGGCCGTACAGCTGGGGCCAGGGATGGTTACTAACCTCTTTGTTCTTTTCTGTACAGTAGCAGTGTGCCCAGTTAATTTCTTGGTGTTTGTCATATCCTTAAAATGTGAATTTAAAAATACCTTGCTTTATATATCACGAGCATTGTAAGATAGATGCAAACTAGAATGTGCTGAACACCACAATAGCATAAATACTTAGCCAATCTCATGTTGACAAGGCACAACCCAGGAGTTAACAACAGTAAGTCAAAACAGCTCTTCTACTTTTACAACTATTACAGTTTTGTTTGTGCAATTTCTGATAAGTCCTGAGATTGCATCATCAATTCCACCCATCCCATGAAAGTCTTTA